GCTAGCGGTGTAGTAGTAAATACGGCTGGATTATCAGATGGAGAGCGGCAGCCACAGCGGCAGAAAAAAATGAAATTTTCAGCCAGTGTGCCTCTCTCGTGCACACCTCGCGCGCGTTATGTACATTAATGATTTGGCGAAGGGAGGCACGCGCTGCTATTGCTGCTGGTGGCAATATTTGCAGGGTAGCAAAAGAGAAAAAATGGCCATTAGATACACTACTACCCCTTTATTATTGCTGTCTCTCTATACCTCTCTCTCTCATTATTTCAGCCGCACAGAGCGTCGCACGTGTTTGTGTGCATCTACACACATACGTAATGGTACACACACATACGCAGTGTATATAAATACCTATACATAATGGAGCTATACATAATGGTCTATGCGCCCAACTTTTTTCCTATCGTTTATTAGCGCAAACAGATATTAATGTATTTTTACGCCGTACACTTCGTTTTCGTCCTTGTGCCCGCCGTGCATTGGTCTCTGTGTGCGCGTATTAGGTTCGGGGAAAGTATCGTCGTATCTTCCTATACATATGTGCGATTGTGTATATGTCTATGTGTGTATATATAAAAGGCGAAGCCAAATCCAATTACTTTTATTCGGACGAAATGAGTGCACACCCACATAGAGAGCGAGCGCGCGCGCGCGCCAAGTCATTAATACTAATCAATGGCTCTTTTTTTCTCGCCCTCTCTCTGTGCTGCGCGCACGAGTTGGGCGCACTGCGCGCACGTAGTGAGTAACACGAACAAAAAAAAAGAGGAGAGAAAAAAACGCAGCCGATAGCCAACGAGGAATTATCCATAACTCCGTGAACAGAGAGAGAGAGAGAGAGTGAGAGCGGGAGCGTAAATGACTTTATTTCAAAAAATTCGCCCTCTCTTGTACTACTACTACTCGCGTATGCATCGAGTCGCGCGCGCGTTAAAAAATCCCCGAGCGAGTCGATAAGTAATGTTTATTGTTGCATATCCCAGTGTCATTTTTGCAGCTGGCCCACTAGTAGCAGCGTCTATGTAGCAGCGAGCGAGCGAGCGAGCGCGCGCGTAATACTACTGTGACAATACAGCGCACTTAGTCTCACTCCCTCCCGCGTTTTTTCCCTTTTTTTTTGTTTCGTTGTTGCAAAGCGAGCGGCAGCAGGGTCAGCGCTTTTTTTCGCACTCTGTGTTTTTAGTATTACACACGCGAGTAGGAGGCGCGATTATTTATCGTCATATATAGATACACGAGAGCATAGAACCCTCGCAGTTCTCTACAAATGCGCGGGCGGCAGTTGCGCGCGGGCGGGCGACGATTTTTTTCGTTATTAACGGCTGTCCGAGCGTTGTTGTACGCGCAATACGCATGCCGATCCCTAGCTCGCGAATTGACTTTTTTTTTGTTGTCGTCACACACGTGAAAAAGCGCGTTATATAACGCGTATTTATACTTATTTGCGCGCATTGAACAGCGCACCAATGGTGGAAATGGCTTGCACCCCGGCCCAGGCGCACGATATCAGCTATCGGAAAGCGAATTGGAAATATTATTATAGAGCGCGAGTTGCCGAAAAGAATAAAATTTGTTGCGGGTGTGCGCGAGGCTGCAGGAAATTAACAGACGTGGTTCTATATAATACACAATTTGCATATATAGATATTCGTATCTTGCGTTGACATTTAATTAATCAAGTACATTATAGTTAAAAGCTATAAGTCATCGCGATGCTACTTAATTATTTACGCGCTGTGGTGCACGATTCATAATCATAATTTCTATGACTCTACTCTATACTACTGCAAGGCTGCAATTGGCAAAGAATGTCGCGTTGCAAGATCATCAATCTCTTTCCCGCGTGCTGCGGCATGAACGCGTTGACAATGCGTAATTATGTATTGCTGCACTTACACACGTTCGAATTAGCGGCTGAACAGCGAGCGAGCTTTTATATATACCGCGGCTCGCGCGATTCTTTTAATATACAGTGGGCTCGCTGGCTCGTTTTATATAAAAGCTTCGCACGGGGGCATTGTCGAGCTTTCGGCCATTAAAATCGTCGCGACGCGACGCGGCAATCGGCAATCGACAATCGTTCGATGATCTTTTTTTTTTCGTTTTCGTGCTGCGCACAAAAGTGCATTGTACGGTGTCGTCGGTGGTAATACTCTAATTTGCGAAAATTTCGATGCTCTCTCTCTCTCTCTCTCTCTCTCTCTCTCTCGATCGCTCGATGACTGTTCAATGCAGCTGCAGTCGCTGCGCTGCTCTCGTATAAGAATGCGAACAAAAAGGGAGAGCCTGCATGGCGCGGCAAGGGGGCTGCTGCTGCTGCGAGCTACTCTGCGCGTAAAGCAACTACATTTATTAACGAGAGAGAACTCGGGTGCAGCGCGCGCGACTGAATATATGTGCACTCGCGATCTTCGGCATCATTTTTTACATACACAACGGAAAACGGCAAAATGCAGTATGCATTGGGATACGTGTATTATATACGTATGAGTATAATATCTGATAAAGGTCGAGCAATTTTCAAAAAGCTCAGCCGAACTCTCTAGCGCACACGCACAAAAGTCCCAGTGTTTTATTCTGATTTCATTTATGTATGTTTGTGTTTCCCCCCCTTGTACACATATACCCTCGTGCAGTCCTCGGCGCGGTGAAACCCATGATGCCAAACGTAAAAGAGAGAGAGCCAATTCCAAATGCACCCGCGTGATTCGTTCGAGCTCCACTGCTACGAAATCCCGAGCGCTGATTTTTAATACAATACCTGCACATCGCGCGTAGCATATATATTCATCATCACTTTTCATAAACATGAATAGGTAGCGCGAGGCCAACCAGCAGCAGCAGCAATTGCAGAGCTTTTTTTTACTTGACCCTCTTGAGCTCTCCGAGTCTTTCACGTGGTGGTGGTGGTGGTGGCTCGAGTTTTGTAATTAAAGCGCTTGGCAGAATCAATTTTTCATCGATATCTGGGCGAATCTGCAGCAGTAGTGCACGACTCTCCAACTCGCGGCTCACATACACATATAGTAGCAGCAGCAAGTAAACTTATGCATAGCGTCCAAATATAAATTAAGTATACAGGCGTCTCTTTATGCATCGCTTCTAAAACCGCTAATCTGTATCCGGTCGCGCGCTGCAAACGCTAAGGCTATATATATGTAACATGTCCCGGCGCATATTTCCATGCGATATTATGCAAAGAGGCCGCGCGCGCGCCCGTCGGTTCGCGCTGTTATGTGCCCGCCTCTGTATGTATGTATGTGCTTGCTGCACATGGGCAGTATATGCCTATACGTCGCGGCTAACCACATACGCGTGCTCGCATATCCAGCTTTTGCGCGCTCTCCTGCGAACGCATTTATAATACATCCCTCTCCGCACCTTATAATATACACAAGCCCCCAGCACATGGATAATAAGCAGTTATAGCTGTTCGGAGCTCGACTCCGGGACCGATGAAACATCGGGTCGCGCGCCGCGCATCGCGATCAGCACGAGATGCGCGGAACGTGCAAAAAAAAAGGAAGAAAGAAAGGGAAGTGTGTTCATGGCTCCTATCGGGTTTTCAATTTGTTGTATGTATCGTGATAAGTAGCGGCTGAATAATTTTCGGGCACCGCATCGAGGTGAGAAGTTCGTCTTTACACGTTTAATTATAGCTATACGTGAAAAATTGGTCTCGCGAGAAACTTAATACGCGTTGAAAATTGCCCGCTAAATTCACAGCACGGCGATGATCGTAGCGGAATATATACTTTCATCGACGCGCGGATATTATGTATGCTACATAAATGCGGCTCTCGCGAAACGAGCGCACGACGCGGAAAACCATCGTGTATCTATTCGGCATATCTCAATCAGTATACTGCTAATTGCTTCCAATTTCAGATAATGTTTTTCAGCGATGTAGGCCACACATAGCCGCACACAGTGCCGCCGACGTCTCAGCTGCAAGCAAGTCGGGCACTGCCACATAGATGCGGCCATGTGATTTATATTGATTTCTTATTACGTCGATTGCTAACATCATGCAAACAGCTCGTATATTATAACTCTTGCTGCTGCTGCTGGCTCTTGGGTTATACTTGGGCGGCGGTGGCTAATTATCCCTATCGCGCGAGCGCAAATTCAAGAGAGAAAGATGCTTGATAATTTCGGCTTCTCTCTCTCTCGCTCCCTCAAAAGGGAGAGAGAGAGAGAGAGAGAGAGAGAGAGAGAGAGAGAGAGAGAAAAGATTGTCGAGCTTCGATAAGAGCGTCTTTTCGCGTGTGTATACATGTATATACACAGCTCGCTATGCGGCGGTGGCGGCGACGGTGTGGTCGCTCGGGCATTAAAAACGTTCTCGCGTATCGTCATTATGTATAGCAGCAGTTCGCAGCGGCGCGGCGACTTCGCGGACGACGATGATAAATGAGTCAATTCAAGCTAATTAGCGTGACTCGATTTGCCGTAATGATAAGTTTGTAAATGAAATGAGAGCAATGAGATCCCCCGCCATATTTTCGTAGCCCCGGACAAAACGACTCTACGTTTTTATTGTAGAAAAAAACGTCGTTGTCGTTGTTTCTTAAGTTATCAACTTTTTTTACATCGATTTACGTGTAATTATAACTCTTTATTATCAAGTTTCTCAAAGTGATTATTTTGTTTTGAAAGACGTTTATACCTGGTTACAACAATCATTTACGATAAAAAGACATAATTCATTGAGCTTTAATTTTCAAAGCATGATGAGATTCATAATTGTCCTATCACAACTAGAGAGTACAGAACTTGAGCAAGATTGTGGTTGTGTAAAGATCGCTTATAACAAATTGCACCTAAACTCTAGTTGTAGAAGCGTCTGTAATTGTAGTTGGCTGATGACTATTTTTATAATCTTTGTTAATGCATGAGTAAAATGGTGTAGGTGAAAATTTTAATGACATAATAAGATAAATGAGCCGAATTTCGAACGACTTACTCAAAATTTTCCTACCCCTCGTTTGTTACAGGACAGTGACAGAAGCAGTAGTGGCAGTCCCGAGCCAACGTCGGGCTCTCTGCACGACCAAATACTGCTGGAGGGTATGAGAAATTCCCGGAAGAAACGGCGCAGTCCTTCGCCAAAATCGATGGAACAGGCGAAACGCGCCGCCCAAGCGCAAGCTCACCTCAATGGCACAAGTACGTAACATTTTTTCTTAATTGTCTCTTAAATATAATTTTTATAAACGTACAATTAGATGCTATAACGAGTACTTTGTATTTTCAAAATAGTGGCAGGCATGGTGACGCTGCAAAATCTTCAAAATCTGGCGAATCTTCAGAATTTGCCGCAGGTCGCGTCGTTCGCGGCGGGCCTGCAGGGAATTTCGTCCGAGCTCACCAACAATTCTCTTATCAACGCACCTCTCAATCTGTCCGTCACGTCGCCGGGGGCCGTACCAACGACGCCATCGTGTACCACGGCGCCAATGGCGACGCTGACCCAACTTTTGGCTCAGCCGCAGCCGATCGCCATGCCACAGTTCATCCTTACGTCTGGACAACTGGTGCAAGGTATACAGGGTGCGCAGCTCATCATACCAACCTCGCAAGGTCAGTGCTTATTATTTATTTGCAGCTAACATATATAATATGGCGAAATAATGTAGAATTAATAGATTCACGCCAACTCTCGTACTAGTCCGATATTATACACTTTATGCATTGTCTATACAAAGGTCGATATGCCAGAGTGGCCCGAGCCTTTCGTTCACGCGTGTATATTATATGTGGAAGCTAAGTTCGTATTTCGTTTTCGAATCCGGATGAAGCTCTCTAATCATAGCTCGACGGTGGTGGCGTCGTCGTCGATGCTCTGTGACGGCCTGCGCATAATATTACGACACATACAATCGAGTTTGTATTATATATATGCAAGCGCGCGGGAGCGCGTAATATCGGCTATCTCTCCTTTATATACGTATACAAGGACGCGGGCGTATATCTACCCGAATATATAGTGGGTGTAGTGCTGCAGCCTGGCACGCTCGCTGCCGCTACATCCTCGTCGTCGTCGTAGTCGCGATGCATGCATACTTATATACACATCGTAGTACGTAGGTATATACGAGTGTGTACTCGTATAGACGTATAGGTGTGTGTGTGTATACGTGAGTTGGCAGCTGGGGAGGAGAGGCGGCTTGCAAACTCCTGCAACTAATTTCAATGTATAATTAACGTTTCTCAGCTATACCCCCATATAGATATATAGCATAATAGCGGTGGTAGCGATGGTAGTGGCCCCGGCACATATACACATACACACGACGTGTATATAGAAGTCATTTCTTGTCTACAAGCCATCGTTAGCCTGCGAGCCCGCAAGTTCTCACTCTCTCTCTCCCCAGTTCGCTAGCAGCTAGCCCTCCCCTCCACTCTTTATGGATGTATAGACACAAGTTAGCATTAGAAAACATCGTTCCTCGGACATGCAACTATTAATTGCGCTCCTCTAGCTCCCTCCTGCTCTTTCTCCTTCTCTCCCCCGCCCATCTTCCTCGCTGATGCTCCGCGCGCCGGAGAGCTTAACTTTCTTAGCAATAGCTCCTTCGCTGTAAGAGACCGATTCTACGCTTCTCTCTCGCTCTCTCGCTCCCCCACACGATATAACTTCGATATAACTTTGACCCAATCGAATTTAGAGAAAGAGAGATGTCTTCGTAAGGGTCAGTTGCTATCCATCTCTCTCTCTCTCTAGTATATCGACGAGTATATGAGCATCGCTGTATAGATATGACGGTTTAGCCCGAGTTTATTACTACTACAGCACCTCCATAGCATATTCTACCTAGATATTTATTCAAATTCGCTTCGGACTGATGAATGCACCACGCGATTTAGTAATACAACTCAATTTTCAAGACTCTAGATACCTAGTGTGAATTGCTGCCGCGCGATCCTCTTTGATTAAAACGGAATCGTTTAGTCATTTTAATATTTACTGCGACGCGTAATGAGGTCGGGAGCTAGTTTTCTCGTGATTATTCAATTTCAACGCAGAAATCATCTAATCGTCCACAAAGCTAAAATTCCTGGGCATTGAAACGACCATTTTCGAAGTTACATTATCATAAAGTTGATTGGCAAGCAGCAGCAGCTGCACAAGCAAAACTGCTATAGTACCGTGTGCGTGGAAAGCATAAAAGAGTTTGCGAAAGCTCGCACCACATACACGTAGACCACATAGAACCGCACGAAAGGTAGAGAGAGAGAGAGCGAGTGGGGAAGTATAGCAGCAGCAGCTGAAGTAGTGTGTGGCAGCACACAACAAGTGGTCGAATTTCCGGCCAAACGCTATGTGTATGTGTGTGTACGTACGCTGCTGTTGTTGCTGCTTTGGCCGCTACGCGCTCCTGTAAATACGCGCGATCGATTTCCTACATAAATCTGTATATAAACAAATGGATTTTTAAATACGATGACTAAACGTCGTATTACATAATTACATAGATAATACATAATTAAATAATGTATTAGATGGTCAATAACACGAGTGAGAGATCGGACCCGTCGCGCTTGAGAAAGGAAAAGAGACTACTCATAATTAATTACTCATCACAGTGGCGGCTCGCGCGATGCATTGCCGGAGCGATCGACGCGGGCCGCCGAAAAGACTCGAATAACATGCAAGCATGTGGGAACGCTTGCGATTGCGGGGACGAGCCGAGTCAGCGTTACCTGAACTCGGCGCGTCCACGTAACAATAGTGTCAAGAGTTTTTTTTAAAATTATAGTCCGCAAAAAGCGAACTCTCGATCTGTCATTATACTCATGATGACAATAATCATATATTATGATTGGAGAGAAAGACAACACACCTGTATACACATATTCACGCGCACTCGCACATTTATATCCTGCTATACATAGGTATACAGCGGAAGGATAATCGGATTAGCACTTGGGTGCAGTAGTAGTAGCAAGCTAATCCCGTAACTATTCTAAATATGATTAGACATCCTTCTCTCTCTGTCTCTCTTTGCGTGCCCATGTATATATACGTTCACGGTCGAGTCCGAGTATACAGCTCGCAAAGTATATATGTGTATGTGCGCAGCGCACGTTAGGACATTGGGGGGAGGTGGTGTGTGGATGTATTAAGACGGTGATAATAGTTTGCCAACTAAGCGCGCGCGAGCGAGCTTGCACGAGCCTGCCAGCGTACGTGTTTGTGCGCGAGTGTCTGCAGCTCACCCCGAGTACATATATACGCAGAGAGAGAGCGAGAGAGGAGCTTGCAGCAGCATCTCTCTATGAGATGTCTAATAATCCTTCCGAGTTTGGGATAACTTTACTGCAGATCAAGTGCCTCGTCGTTATGTGTATAAGTCCGCGCGCTCGCCCTGGAAATTCTAAGGAGATCAAGTGGACCTTAGAGCCTGAGTTATTATTGCCTTGCTACCTACCTACCTCGCTATATTATTATCAACTTATCTTATCTACGCGCCATTATTTTATGCTTCGACGAGCGCCAGCCGCCCTGCTGCTGCAAGCTCGTGTATAATATAATAATATGAGCGAGTATTACACAACTTTAAATATAAACAGTTCTCTATAGCGCTTGTACGTGCATATAATAACCAAAGTTTTTGTTCTTTAAATCGACAGGGTTCGCAACACAAACCATACTTACCATTCCCGTAAGCCACGTCAGCACCAATAACCAAATAGTTAATTTGGCACTGAGCAACGGACAAGTTGTGTCGACGACGCTAGCAAATTTACAATCGATCGCGCAACCCCAGGGCCTGCTCAACACGCCAACGAACAGTGGTTCGTATATTTAAAAAAATATAACAAAATTACAAACCGATCTTTTTGATGCTAAAATTTTGTTTTTTTTCTTCAGCTGTTCCAACGAGTCCGAACTTGAGCGCGGCGGCGGCTGGCTTGGGCATTAATCCCGCGGCCCTGCCGCATCTGTTGGGTGCCGCCGCGGCGAACACGACGGCGAGCCAGCAGCTACTCAGTGCCATGCAGCCTTCGCAATTGATCCAGGCCGCACAGGCCGCTCAGGCCGTGCAGGCTGCTCAACAGCAGGCCGTGGCCGCCGCGCAGGCCTCGCAGCAGCAGCAACAGCAGCAGCAAGCCCAGCAGCAGGCCCAGCAGCAACGAGAACAGCAGGCTCAGCAGCAGCAACGAGAACAGCAACAAGCAGCGCAACAGTCGCCGCTGCTGAGCGCCTCGCCACCGCACGGGCATCGTCACAGTAGTTCGCACATCAATCATTACGCAGTGAGTGTTGAGAATGTCGATATTTTAGATATATTATACACTATAGTTTTCTTAAAAACCAAGAAGTAACACTTCTTTTTTTTTCTTCTTATCTGGTTGACACAGAACAACGACCGCAAATAATATATAATAATAACGTAATCTCGTTAAGAAAGTATGGTATTATTTTCGCTCTTACTGAATGGCACTTCCGTCGCTAATTAGACCGTCAAAACGCCCTCCGGTTGTCTCGGAGCCAAGCTTTTCTCTCTCTTGACCAGCCCCAACTTCTCTGCGCCAACCTAGCTCTCTTATAAAGATGCTTATTATTGTTATCGTCGCGTTAATAAAAAAAAAGAGAAAGAAGTGAAGACTGCTCGAGAAGAATGCCAACAAAGGGAAGACTCGAGAGTCCTCGAAAGAAAAAAAAAACCCGATCACAATTATTAAATAACACGTTGGAATTAAATCTAATTTCTAATTGTAATGAAAAAATATTTATTTTTATATACTTGTATTTGGAAATTATTTATATTTGAAATTTTTTACTTTTTTTCAAGCCATTTCAACCTAAATATTGATAAATAGTTTGTACTAATGCTCCAGCAACAGCTGTTAATCGTACGAATTGATTAGGTTGAAGAGATCGAATACGAATAATTTCACATTATCATTTTGTCCTTTGAGGACGTGCGCGCGCGACGAGAGAAGCACGCGAGATAGCTCGTCGAGCTATACAAACATGTATTTGAATTGATTCAAGTTGATTACATCGAATGAGATATCTGGCCCCACACCGATTGTTGTAAATATACATGTGTGCCTGTACTCACAAATGAAACAGCTCGCAACATGTACGTGTCTTTGTTTATAAGCTTAATACTCGGGCTTGCGTGTGCAAGCGTATACTGCAATATTAATATGACATTGATGCAAATGGATAATGAAGCAGAAATAATTCGCTATTATTCTCACTGATACATCTTGATTACAATCAATTGTTGAAATCCATTAAATTGACGAACGTACATTCGAACACGAAGCTCCAAAGTATGCACACATGTTCGTTCACGTTGCCGCGAGAGATACATCCATAAACGACGTTATTAATAATTGATAAATCGAACTGTTTATAAATATACCCAAGCTCGAGTTGAAAATATAAATAAAACGATCGAATGCGCGCGTGTTTGTTTTGCAGCAGCAACAATCGGAAAAACTGCACAGGGAGAGGGTCGAGCAGTCGTCGCCACTGAACGGCTCAGCCGTGTCGGCAGCGACGGCGCTCAATCGGTTGGCCGCCAATAACGGCGAGCTGACGATCACGACGACGCACAGCGGCGGCGGCGGCTCGTCAAGCGTCAACTCCAACTCGAGCCTCAAAGCCGAGCCGAGCGTGCACACCATCAAGGAGGAGGACGACGATCTTCTCAACGACTCGTCGAGTGAGTTTTACTTTCTTTTACTTTCGATGTTTTATTTTTAAGCAAATGCTCATCCGTGACTCTTCGCGCACAGATCAACCGACGATAAACGAAGCCACGAACAACGTAGTGGACGGAATAAACTTGGACGAGATCAAGGAGTTCGCCAAAGTCTTCAAGTTGAAACGTCTCTCGTTGGGACTTACGCAGACGCAAGTCGGCCAGGCCCTCAGTGTGACAGAAGGCCCTGCCTATAGTCAAAGTGCCATTTGCAGGTGAGACAGAAGCTTTAACCCTCTCTACTCGCCTTATACTTTCTTTCTTCTATCTCTATCACGATATACTTTTGGATATCATCGAAATAAATCGCAGCCTTAATTGCCTACAATTCTTGATTGTTATACATAAAATATACTGTACAATTGTGAACATCGAGCAAGAAGTTGATGCTCGACACGTGTATGTGCTTATTATAGGGCGATTAAAAGACACGAAAGATGTACAAAATCATTCGTAGATTTTTGCAAAAGCTTATGTCAAGTATAAAAACTGAGAAGTCGATTGCCAGGTCACTTAACGACGAACTCAAATTAAATCGTTGCGATGTCCGATGAAATTTATGAAAAATAAAAGTTAATCGTTAGAAACGTTGCATAGCCGGATTACTTCCGAGCTATAAACAGATTTTCTAAATATTTTGCTATTGTAATAACATAAAAAGAAAAAAGATGATAGATATAGGAGTGCGAATTTGCAAAGATAATAATAGATATATTTCGCCTATTATATAGCTGTAAAAGTTGCGAAACCAGTTTCGGTCACGGTGGTTTCTATATTGGATATATGTATGCATACAAAATTTCTGAAATAAGCTCTCACTGCTTATTAATAAAACTTTTAGCGATTTATCGAGAATATGCTAATTTCTAGAAACAACGTCTTACTTGATATACATAATATGACTAAAAATACATATAGACACACAGAGCCCATCGTGATTCGAATCAATGAGAATTATATTTCGATGAATAATTTTACGTTTTTCGACTAATTGATGCATTGGTGATTTCCCCAGTGCCCTGGCTTTCCAGATGTACGCTCAGCAGCAGAAGATGTACGTTCACCCCTTATTACATTATCTCATCTATCTAAAATTTCTTATGGCCTGCAGTCATACCTAATCTCTAAATCTCGCCCTTCATCTGAACGAAACGATAATATCGGGATTTGATGATAATTTTTCGACCATTAGAAAAAAAAACAGTCTGTTTAGAGCTATAGTTTATTTTCGAATCAGTGTATAGGTGTGCACGTTAGGTATGACTGCAGTTACTATTTTGCTACTTTTTCCAATTTCATTCGACCATGAAAAAAAAAGAACGACGAACGACCGAAACGGATAATGACGATATTTTTAAAAGGACTTTTGCGATGTTAAAAAAAAGTAGAGAAAAAAATTCCAAAGAAGCACTTTTTACTGTTAATCACTAATAATAATATCTTCGAGCCAGGGCATTGGCAAAGCTTGGGCATGATGTCGCCAACGCGCTGCAGCTCCAAATTTTGTCACTTTTCTCTGTGTTTTTAGTTTTTTTTTGCTCGGGTATAAAAATCTTAAAGTGCTTTTTGCATATCACGATTAAATCGTTGTGTCTACCGTTAAAACGAATAATTAGATATCCACGAAAGATCGATACAAAAAATTACAAAAAAAATTGGTCAAACTTTGCCGATTCGAGGCAGCTAGAACACGTTGGCACATCATAATAAAAAAAAACCCACAGCATCACCAAGTCAACGCTCATGCACGCATTGTCAATGTCCTGTTATCAAATCTTGTAATATGCATGTGTTTTTACATATTATATAGTGCTCCTTTGGTCGAGATTTTACACACGATTATTCGCAATCGTGATGAAAGTCGCTTGCTTGTATTTTCATTGTTTTGTTTTGTTATTTGTGTTGATTTTTTTTTATTTTCGCTACATTTTTTAAAATCGCGAATCTTAAAATCAAACTACTCTAGACTCGATAACAACTATATACTATATATACTGCATGTGCTATGTGATACAATGACATTGGAAAAAAAAACTATACTGCTATGATTATAATAAATGAATGTAACAAGCGCGTAACACAATGCAATTTATCACGCTCTCAGGTTCGAGAAACTTGACATAACGCCGAAGAGCGCCGTGAAAATCAAGCCAGTCTTGGAGACGTGGATGAAGGAGGCCGAAGATAGGTGAGTCGTGCTTTTATGCACCGTAATTATGTGATCTTTGTCTCTCTCTCACTCCCTTCCCTGCCCCTTGCAACTCTCATTATTCTCTCTCTCTCCTAGCTCTGTTACTGCTCTTGGTATAATTTGTACCGAAACGAATCTTAGATTTTTTTGTGCTCGCCCCATACATCTTGCGGCCTTGTGATTATTTAAAAGAAGAAAAAAAACAAGAAACAAGCAGCTTCGCGCGCGCTCATCCCAATCATCGAGTCATGGCTTTGCTCGGTGCGATAATTTCCGACGCGGAAACACGATGCACGAAGAACCGATGCTTTTTATTGTTTTTTCTAGTTGCTCGCGTGTAATGCTTATCAATCTCCGATTTTATAATCAAGAAATAGCTGCTCTTTCTCTCCTTGCAATTTTTATACGAAGCGCAAAAATTTTTTCTTGCTCACATGGATGACTGCGCTATAATATTACACAACGAGGAAACGGCTCAATAATTCTCGACCGTATTATAAGAAATATATAATAAAAATAAGTATAAATGATCGGCGACTTTTTTATATCGATTACAACCCGAGAACAAACAAGCGTTTCTCCCGTAGAGAGAGACTGTAATGCGAGCTCGTAATGCCACGCGTTTCTTCTCTTAATTGAATCATTATCTGGATTGAATCGATACCGAAAGAAAGTTTAATTTTAGAGTGAAAAATATATATGAAGCTCTAGAAATCAATCCATGTTCGATAAAAGTATATTTTAATCGATGAAAAAAAATCAAGAACAAAGGGTACGTATGAGCGATCGGTCGAAAGCTCGTTAAAAAAATTGCAATTCCAAATGGATAGAGCGCAAAACGCGCTAGTCACGCTTGGCCTAAGGACTCGTGGGGGTCAACACGTGCTATAAGTGCGAGGGGGTATATCTGCCTGTACGATGCTCATTGCATCATAAGTAATTGATCGCAATACTTTAGCCTATAGCGCGCGATAAGTATTGTAAACTTTCGTACATTAGTGTTCCTTGTATTTGCCCTACAGTATATCAGCTGAAAATAATCATAAGAAGGATATAAAGCTGCGTACATAATGTACGAACGCGAGGAACCGTTATTATCCAGAGAGACTATTATTGAACATGACTTGGCCTCTTTGAGCAATTGATTTTCAACTTATATATATTACGTGGAACTCGTGTTTGCTCTGACTTTCGTTCTCAATAAGCTGCTGCCATTGTTACTACCTATATACCACTGCTGCTGCTCCGCTCTGACGCCGTATTGATTAACGCGAGCATTGAATTAATTAATTAGTCTGAATTACGTAATTATATTAAGCTCCAACTATAATAGACGTCCTTCAGTCATGCAAAGTCCGATGTGCTTTCAACTGTGTACGATGATCTATATGTGTATACGTTACTTATCATAATTAGCACTTGCATATCTGCTAGTTAATCTTTTTCGATTCCGAGTTATATACCGAATTCTACCTTGGAATAATGGAAAAAAAAACACAGACACAAAATTCATCGCGTCCCTCATAAAAAAGTATCAGGGAAAATTTTTAACGAACCCCGCGCTAATATGCATAAAACAAATCAATGAAATAAAAAAAAAAAAATTGTAGCCAGGCACTCGTGGCTGTCATTAAAACTCTTTCCAATTTTTATTTAATAAACTTTTTGAATATCCGATCAGCCAGGGTTGGATGAAAAAAAATTTGCTCGCAGCAGCTAAATCGTCGTGAAAATTTGCGCTTTGGAAAAAAATGCATACACAAGCATAGCACCGCGGGGGGATAACAAAACGAAAACGAACACTTCGCGTTTGTTTTGTAATTACGAAAAATTTCATCGCGTAGCGCGCGCGCCAGTGCAATATATGTGCTCGAGAGAGAATCAGACAGGTATAGGAGAGAAGACTGGGAAGGGAGTAGCGGGATAGGGAAAAAATTGCCTCGAACATTAACAAACGGAATTACGTGCTTAAACTCGCAGCCAATATTAACGGCGCGGGCGTCGCGTGCTAAAAGAAACAAAGCAAGAAAAGTAGCTTATATATAAGTGTGTGTGTATGTATATAGGAATATAAAGAGTGTTTCGCGCGCGCAGAAAAGAAAGTCTAAAAAGACTCGAAAGCGGTGGCAGTAGTGTGGGTGGGGCTGATTGTTCATCCAGTGCGCGACGCCGAGCGCACTCGTTCGCATTCTTCACGTATAATACTTTCTGTGCAGCATGCAGACACACACACACATACATAAAGCAAGGCGACAAACTCCTCTTACACGAATACATATATATAGATATGTATGCATGTGGATACGGCGGCGGCGGGGGAACATAAAAATGAAAGCTCGCGCGCACAAGCGGCTGCTTTATGCGGTGCACGTGCGCGATTTATCTGCTGAGTAATTAAACTGTGGACTAATTAAAATCAGGTTTCTGATGTGACTACCCCGGCAGCGGTAGCAGCAGCGGCCCTCTTCTCTCTCTCTCCTCTTTCCTTCTTCGCCTTCTTCTTCTACTTCTTCTCCTTCTACACTTTGTACCTTTTCTTCGAGAGAGTACTATAATCTCACTCGTTCTGCATTCTGAGCTCTTCTCTTCTTCTCCTTCTCTCTTTCTTTCTCTCTCTGTCACTCACTGCATTTTCCTTGAAAATGTTCAAATCTCTTTGATGCTTTTTTACTACTTATCGCGCGTGATTGATATTTAAAGATTACACCGAGCTTTAATTGCGTAATTATGTGTGCCAGGCGATAATGCGAGATATTACCGCAAACATCCCTGTTGACGCGAATATTTAATTATCACAAAATTAACGATTATGTACCTACTTGTGCTCGCGCACCATATCGACGTCAATTGGCCAGCGAAAGTTCAATTAATCAGTTAACTCATTAACACTCGGGTTAATGATGGCACAAATACTCTCGGATGGATCGAAATGAAATTAATTTTTCTCGTAATCATAAGTAAATCTCCGACGTGCATACACACCCGCAGCACACGGATAGCAAGAGCGAGAGAGAAAAAGAGGGCCAGAATGGAAAATATAATCACATATCCAGAGCGAGAGGCAGTTAATTAATACCCTTCTCTCTTTCTCTGTTCGCTGCAGCGCATTTCATAATTTCATTATATAGTCCATCGATATGGCGCGTATTCCGTATATTCGCTGTGTACTGCAGTAACAGTAGCAGCAGTCGCGCTTTACTCGCTCGTATTAACTGCATTACTTCGGTCATCCGTCACGTGCTCTCGAATCTTTAACGCGCGTCGCGGCCGTGTGTGCGCCACGTGTGCGATACTCACGTCTGTGTGTGTAAACGCGAGAATATGTGCCTGCATCGATACACTTTTTTATCCTCTTTCTCTCTGCGTATAACCTACCCCCACACCCTCCATTAGCATATTGTTTTTAGCGAGATTCGGTGCGGCGGCTGCTGCTGCTGTGCGGCGACGACGGCGGCGGCAAAATATCTCCTCTGACTGGCAATGCTAATTTTGTTCGCGTTGCTTTTTAACGTGTTTCTCATGCTAGCTGCTGCTTGTATTCACTCGACAGTTGGTCATTCCAAAAGAGAGAGTGAGAGAGAGAAGTTAAAATTAAAAACATAAATTTCGCGCGACTCGAAAAAAGCTATTCTACTACTGTCGAGCTTTTTCATCATATCTGATACAACACACGTACATATATACACGGGCGCTCGTATAAAGCTTGAGTTGTTGTATAGCCCCCGAGCTTGCGGATAGCTCGTTATGTGTTTCGTAATGTTTTCTCTTCTTTCCCCACAGCAGCGTTCGTTCCTCTTTCTCTCATTCCACTGTGTCTCTCTCTCTCTCTCTCACTCTCGATGACAGTTTGTTGCATAATTATATTGATACCTAACAGTTTTTAATTCGATTTTTATAATTATCGCCAGACGGATTATTTGCTTTCATTAAAAATTTTCCCATTTATTAAATTGAAGGAGTGAGAGGCGCTTCAGCAATCACACAAAGTCATTTTTCATCATCGTAAAAAGCGCTCGGGTAGTTAAATATACACATACTTACTCGCGCGTATTTTCCCTTTCCCTTTCCTCCCTTTTCTCTTTTTCTGTCTCTTTTTCTCTCTTTCACATATACGTACGCGCGCTGTATACTGTTTTTCGTTCACAGATTTTCGTTAATTTATCACTGCTATCCCGCGATTATACGCGAAACACGTTCAAGCTGCGTGCCAAAAAGTTTCGATGGAAAATATTAAAGCGCGCGTCGACGCTCCTCTCTGTGTACGTTGATACCGGTCCGCGCGCCACACCAGTCGCCGCGCGCGTTCGTTCTCTCTTTTTTAAGGGACGACGCGAAAGCAGCTCGTTGATGCATAAATTGCAAAAATTACTCCACAAGTGCTGCAGGCACCGAGAGAGAGAGCACGCGTATATATAAGCGCAGGATTTTCCTACCCCCTGTGTTTAATTAAATCGTGGAAGGTTGCATTAAGTGTGCTTACACGAGAGCGGCAGCCTATATAATAAAATAATCTATCGCGTACTTTACCACGCGCTTATTCATCTCTTTTTTCTCTCTCCTGCTTTTACCTCTGTACGCACATATTCCTCCCCCGTCAACAGCTCACATTTTCCCGAAAGCGCTTGGAACGCTGGAGCAGCTTTTAACTGAGAGCAGTGCGTATGATTATAGGTCTAAGATCGGTGCCAACCACCTGACGGATTTCATCGGCGTGGAGCCGAGCAAAAAGCGGAAACGGCGTACGTCGTTCACGCCGCAGGCGCTGGAGCTGCTCAACGCGCATTTCGACAGGAACACGCATCCTTCCGGTAAGCATCATTCGCTGGGCTTGAAATTGAGTCATTTTAAAAATGTCGAAAACGATCGCAATACGGTATGTATGTATTTACGTAGGTAACGAGATCACAGCACTGGCGCAGCAGCTCGGCTACGATCGCGAAGTAATCAGGATCTGGTTCTGTAACAAGAGGCAGGCGCTCAAGAATACCGTGAGGATGATGTCAAAGAGTATGTCCTAAGATAGCGCCCTGGAGCCTCTGTGGTCCCTGCCGACTTCTTGTAATATAGCTCAAGGCCAGCAACAGCAGCAGCAGCAGCAGCAGCAAGCGTCAACGAATCCTCGCGGCAGCAGCAACGAGTATTGCATTTCACAGACGACGACGAGCTGTAGCAGCAGCGGCGCGAGCGGAGCAGGAGACGCTCCGCAGCAGCGAAGATCGCCTTCTCAGCCGCAGCAGCTGCTCCAGCCTCCGTCAGTGCCGACGTCGCTGCCACTCAACATGTCTCTTTTGCTGGCTGGCTTGACATAGTAGTAGCGCGCAGATGCTCCATTTTAATCGAAACACAACACAGACACAACAAAATGATTGCCCTTTCGCGATGAATCATGGACAATTATACATAAACAAGAAAAAAATAACCATAACCGATAATCGATTTGAAAAACGATGATGGCGGTTCACAAGCTATTTACATATATTAAAGAAATAAACGCATTACGTATGCTGTATGTAACGAACGCTTTAGCCGCGCTCGGGAGGATCGTCGTCGCACGACGCTCCTTTTTCTCAAAAAGTTTTCCCCTACTTCGGTTTTTATGTAAAACATACGAGATATGTTTTTGAACTATGCAATAGTTCGGTTATATTTTGTATGAATAAAAAAACGCGAGATTTTTATGTAGGTTTATATAAGTATGACACTTGTAAAAATGATGATTATTTTTATTATTCATTACTTGAGCGATGATGTATACTAGTACTGTTTATTTTATAATTACGAGCTGACGAATGTCACGTACTTAAGTTTATTAAAAAAATCGGCTAATAGCTTTAAAAATCGTAGATGAAAAAAACAGCTTCAAACTTATAGTTTCTCTAGCTAAGTTCTAAACTTTCGTTTTGTTTTTTCTATCGTATGGAAGAAAGTAAACGTTTACTATAATTTCTGTAAAATATATTTTAGCTTCTATCAAAGTTAAAAATCTTTTGTCTGTAAGATACCGCGTTGGTACGTTAAAAAAAACAAGAAATCAATGATAATTGGTGATTTTCGACATTTATGAGTTTAAGCGCGTGCAGATGTAGCTATCTTGAAAAATTTAATAGCAGATTCATCCCTTACAAACAGAAGAAAATGACTGATATAAATATCTGGTGGTGCGCGCATACAATCGAGCAATAATCTCGGAGATCCAAACGGTAACAGGGTAATCGGGGATTCTGCTCGACTCGACGAGGGTGCACCACTGTGAGCATTGTGATCGCATAAAACGTGTATACGCGTGTATTAATCTGTAAATACTTTTACGTGTAAGTAACACAGAGAGAGACAGAGAGAGTTCCGAACTCGACGTAATCAAAAGCAGAATTTGATTCGATTAATAGTGTAATATTGTCACTTTTAAGTAGCTAATACAAATATTATTATTAATTGTAATGTTTTACAATATTTGGTACTGTAAAAATGCAAAAAAATAGTTTCATTCTTTTACCTGATTGGTAGCTTGCATTTAAAAACGAAATATTTTGAAAGACAATTTTAAGTGATGGTACTTTTTTTTTAAAAAAGCTCGCAATTCATTTTAAAGTAGTTTATAATGATTTTGTAAAAACCGTTTCACTACATTTTGATTTGTGAAGTACACTCTACGAAAAAAATTGCTACGAGATATACTAGAAAATTTAATCTAGTTTGTAAAGACTTGTAAAGACGGCTCGACTTGGACTCTCTTAAATATTGATTATCCTCGAATATTTCTATAAGAACGTTGACATTATTAAAATATAAATCGCAATAAACTTGTCTTTGAAAGTATCCTTATATATCGACTCAGGCTGCTATTTACAGTCATCTATATAAAAAAATCAATATGGTTTTCATCTGGATGTATTATATTCTATATGCAACACGTGATTACGAAGACTAATGGTTGAACAAAAATAATCATGAAGAAATTTTATAGCTTTTGGTAGTATTCTGTTTTAAATTGCTTTTGGTTGTTCAGAAATCCGATAAAATCGGTTGTTTTGCAAAACAATTTAATTACAAAAAAAGCGTTAGTCTTTGTAAGCCGTGGCGACTCACGTTCACGATAACTTTGATGAAAAGCGAAATTCAATAATAATGTAATATCTTTGACGTAACTTAGACCATTATCTATCTAAATAATCACTCGATTGTTTTTCAATAACATCTAACAATTGTTATTTCAAAAAGGAAGCTTTGTAAAATCAGAATTCACTTTCGTTATTTAAACGTACAAAACTTTGACAAGTTCAACATTTTGAAAATTTTGTTTTAATCCTGAGTTGTATTTGATTTGATTAACGATTAATTTCAAAATTTTCCAGACGTGCTCCGAGAATGCAAGGATCCACATGCCTTACATAGTTTTACGCAACTTAATCTGTTATTTGTTGACCAACAGAAAGAGCTTCTTGTCGTTAAAAAAAAGCATAGTTTCAGCCTCCGAGCATAATCTGTAAATATATAACTTAAAAAAACCTATACATAATAAACAGTAATAGACACTCATAAACGATGAAATTTACTCAATAAATAATTATCGCAGCTATAAAATAGCTAGAAAATGAAGAAATACTATGCATACAAAGAAAATTTACATGGTTAAAGGTTGACTATGATGGTGATGATATTTTAAGAATAACTTAACTTTTAAGGAGAAAATAAATTTGACAATGAGCAAAGTGGTTTGTTCCTAAAAACTGTATTATAAAACGCGAGAGCGCACTCTGTGAGAGGCGGGTCGAACGGTATTCAAAATTCAAAATTTATATCTCGAATAATGAAAAAAAAAAATGAAGCGCATCGTGCAGGTGTTTAAGCGCTATAGTATGTTGTGTCCTTTTGATAAAAAGTAAGATTAAAAGAAAAAGTAAAAATTAAATGACGAAAAAAAAGTTTGTACAGAGATATTCCGGTTATTAAATTTTGTTATGTGGTTGACGCTAGGAAGGAAAGAGTACGCCAATGAACAGTGGTGATTTGAAGTAAAAAAAAAATAAAAATTGAAATTAAAATATTAAAAAATCATGTATATTTTCTTCGTGAAAATTTTACGATAGGACATTGCAGAAGTAAAAATTAAAAATTCTCAATGCTTAGGCTATACGTCAAAATAAAAAAAAAGGTGAGAAAAGGAAGAAGTATAACGTGAGTTGTATTCGTGAGTGTCATATTTCTAAGGAAAACGCAGATCCACGGGCTAATGTTTCTCAGCAGTTTCTGGCAGAAATGTCAGCGCTCCGCGCAAAAAGCATAATGTAATGTATTCTGGGACCCCCCAAACCTTGATGCTAATCGTATGTACAGTGAGCCACATATTTCAATGCACATTTATCGTACGGTGTTCACAGCATCATTTTTGGATTGCCATAACTGTAAAAAATCTCTGTAGTACAAAGTCGACTTTATACGAAAAAACGAATTAAACTGGGCAGCAAATAAATAATAAATTTTCGGCAACTTGGGAGGAAACTGCTCTCGAAACATTACTCGGTGAAACCAAAGTTCCTACTACATTTTATATAAAAGTTACTCGACTGTAAAACTGGTGTTGTAAATAAGAAAGAATATACACATGCAAGTATTAAAAAGTAATGTATAATTTATACACGTAATAAATTCAACACACAATAAATCATTTCAACTTTTATTCATGAAGAAAATAAAAAAGGAAATGAAGTAATAGAAATACTGAGAGTTTGCGATTTCGTGATACAAACAACCAATATGGGAGGCAAGATGTTTATTATCTATACTCAAACCTATTTATAATTATATATATTATATATGTAATCAGCTTTGGGCGAATCACGAAATCATGCAAACGTTTCAAACTCATCGTTCATCGTCATAATATTGTTCATACGAATGACTTATGCTCTTTGAGATCAATAAAAGAGTCACACACGCACACCTACCATAACACAATATACAATTGTCGGATAACACTCGTGAGTTCAGGTTCTTTCATATGCGTCATTAGCATTTTTATCTCATCTTTTCACCGAAAAAAAAAGAATAAAAAAAGGGAAACCCAAGCGAACGACAGCTAATTGACAAGAATAAAAAAACGTGTTTAGAAGAAAATGAGGAAATATAACAAAAAAATGGATTATTTAATAAAGAAAAAAATAGTCGATTGATCGAAACATTTCAATAAAGGTACATACAGTCGGAAAAAATTTAAGCACATGAGTATACAACTAGAGTCTAAGCAAGGCAGTAGCTTTAGATTGAATGTTAGCGCTTAAGCACGATGTAATATTACAATTACGTATTTAAAGTGACAAACAACAACAACATCAAACATCTTGAAAAAAAAAAAAATAAACAATTGTACGAAGAAATTTTAGAGCGTAAGCGAATACCTGTGTAAAATCTAGTAGGTGTCCACAAAAGTAAAATAAAAAACATATATTGTGGTACAAATCAATATAAACATACACAAGCTGTTTTTCATTACGAATACCTTCTTCACGAACTTCGTTCGATTATTTTTATGATCTTTTTATCCTCGGTAAAGATTAATACTGTTATACTTTGTATAAAAACATTAAAATTTGTCCACGGGCTCTACAGGCGCTATCATTTCGAAATCGGGTTTGTCTTGAGTTACGACTCTTTTGACGCGTCCAGTCATTTCAATTATCAAATAGCAAATCATTCCAACGCACAATACGCCCATCAAAATATATAATTTAACATCTGTACACAAGTAAGGGCTATAAGCGTAAGTGATTACAGATCCAGTTGCTTCCCACAGTTTGAAGTTTGAATATCCCGATTCTTCTTTGCCAGGAAACAGGAGTCCACTGAGAGCTGAAAAATCAATAGATTTATGAATTATTCATTTGAATCGCAACAAAATTAAATGTAAAATTGATACCGCGGTTAATTAAGATTCAAGACTTCAGAAATTGGAAATATATAAGTTACCGTTCAAAGAACACATTTACTTTCAATTGAGTTATTGAACGTCGGTAAGTTACCCTCCATGCTACATAAAAAACTCTACAACCCATGGTATTTATCAATGCATTTCCTACTGATAGTTCAAAATATAAGAAGAAATATTTATTTATTTATTTGAAGACCACTTGACCTACAATAATTATTCATCAATACCTGATCAATTTTGATAAAAATTTACCAATACTTTGTTATTAATGCTATACATTCAGCGCTCACCCGCTATACATTTACATAGATATTACCATCACAGATTTACAACCCTTTGGAAAATGCTCCGTCGATACATTATCATTTATACGAAATTGTAGAATGTCGATAATATAGCATTCACACAAGTGTCATTAAAATCGAAACGTGAGTATTTAAAATTTAATTAAAATTTTTGATAAAATAATCAATTTTATAATGACCTCACAAATCTTATGGAATCGTTAATAAAAGATACTATTCTTAAAACCAATCTACTTCATAATTTTTTATTGATTCAAAGTAATAATTCATTTTCAAAGTTAGTATTTCTATGAGCTACAGTAATAATAAGTAGAAATGGTCAATATTAATAATTGCCTAATAGAAGAAGAATAATTTTTTATAATAATTACAGCCATTCAACCCTTAGCCGATACTGTTAGGCTTCATAAAATATTGGGTACAACTTGTGTGAATATGATTTTTCAATAAACTTCGGGACATCACTCATGCATGGAGTATTCTTACGGCCAGACGGGATCTCAACCCAAGGTCGGTTAATAAATTGTAAATAATAAATATTAATTTAAATGTGTAGCCATTGATTGACTTGTTCTTTCAAATTTTTCTGTTACAGTTATGTTACAAATATTAAGCGCATTTCAAATTTCTTGAAAATGACAATTTCAAAAATTCAAATCAGTTCTCAACAACTTTAAGTTATTATCACTTTTGGCATCCATCACTAGATGGGGACAACATTTATCAGCAAATCTGCAAGTGCGAAGTAAAGATATTTGTATAAGAAAAGCACGATTTTCTAATTTTGAATCAAACTTGAACTAACGGTATTGAAAGTCTAGGGCTCATCTGAAAATAGTTCTCTATTAAATGGGGATTTAAATGTTCGTACATTTTTATCTATAGTATTAAGCTCAAAAAGTGAACGTTATATGTCCATAAACTTTTTAAAAAAACGCTACACTATTAGTTTGTATATTTCCAGTACTAATGGCTCTTTTACGTCTAAGAAACTTTTTAGTTTGTCAAAAGCTAGCCACAAAATGTTCAACATTACTATTAGAGTAATAACAATATTTAATGAAACTTTTTTTTAATATGGCACTTCAAAAGCATAAACGAATTTCAAATTCAGTAATAAAATATACTAAGCAAAATACCCATTACTTCAACAGATACTTTAGTCTCAACATATATAAAACAGTGTAAATGTTTCGAAAGTATAAGTATCATAGAAAGAACTAAAGAAACTTTGGCTATAAAAGTCGTCCCAATTCGACATTTCTTTTCACACGCAGAACTGTGGGGGGGTACTTGGTTTTCAACCGGCACTTTGCCACCATACTGCTTATACGTCGATGTTCCAACCACATGCCTACATCATACTCCACTTTATACAAATCTTCCTCAAATCTTTTTCTCTTTCCCTTCGCGCTCTTTTCTCGTTTGGTCCTGTAGACTCAAAATAAAACTTGAATTATGAATATCATTCTTATACTACTCTTCTGACTTTCTTTCTTGTCTTTATAAAGTCCGTGTAAACAGAATTTATACGAAGGGTGCTATATGCTTAAATAAACACTCGATGGATTTTTCTGAGTAAAAGAGGTCACAAATAACAACTATGAAAGGGGAAGAAGGTAAAAGAGAAAAGAAGGTAATCTTGGCAAGTCTTATGATATCAGAAGCTGTGACACCTAAGAATAAAAAAGCTACAAAATAAAGTATGACCCCGAGGAATAAAAAATTTAGCCATGGGGATAAAAATCTCTGCAATCGGGGAAAAAATCCTCGCGGAAAAGTTAAAAATTATTGTTTTTGTAAAAAATGATTCATGAAAAAGTAATCCGACTATTATTTATTATTTACAGTTTTATAGAAAGGTACTTTTTACAAATAGAAAAAAAAGAAATCCCCAAGAAGTCACTCCAATTTATTTCGCAGATATTTTAAATAAAAATGCCCCCAGGGACAAATAAAAATTCTACGTGCGTAAATGAATCATCAATGAGGGAACGTATTAGACCCGCAGTGTACACTTACTTTTCGTTACTCGTAGTTTTTACACTCATTTATCTTGTTTCTCTCTCTACTCGGATCTGCCTATGACATCGTTCGTGCACCTTGATTTTCTATCCAGTGAATTGAACGTTCATTATTTCGAGTAACTCGTTCAATTGTGAATGAAAAGAAAAAAAAGGAAAAAAGAGGAAAATGAAAAAATAAAAGAAGAAACCATTAAAATGTCACTTTTGATTGTGAGAACGTACTTTTCACCTACTCTCTACGACCACCGAGTGTACAGACTCTTTTGTTTTTTTGGATATATAAATTTGAAAAATTCCAATTTTTCAAACTGGAGTTTTGAAAAGTTAATGCCGTCTCACGTCATCACAGAATAAAAGGTATTCTTTCATTTTACTATTTAAACAAAAAAGTAGGATAACGTAACGAGTGAATGATCACGAGGCAGTAAATGAACGTTTTCTAAAGAATTTAGCAAAAAATCATTTGCAATATGATCAATGATGCATATGTAAAAAAAATTATAGTTATTAAAAATCTGTGGATGACTGAAGTTGGTCAAACACTGTGTTAATTTTTCTATTTATTTTTACCTGGTGCATTATAAGTAGAAAATTGAATAATGTATGCTTTAGATAAACGTTATCTTATGTCTGACCCCGAAAAAATTCCACTTATCATTACAATAAAATAATAAGTGTTTTCTGCATGTAAAGATGCATAAGATTAAAGTTCCAATTGATAAATGCAATCTTTTTAACAGATTTGCACGGTACTCTACAAGCGCCATTGGTTTCGTGAAATTTACATCGAGTAAAAATTGAATTTAGCGCTTTCCAGAAGAACGTGTAAGATGATACATGTTTCTCACGGCTGAGAGTCTGCAAACTCCCCCGTAGTTCATCAATCTAGTTAAACTTTTGCATTCCTACGAGCTCGAAATACAGTAGGAATTTATATACTGGCAAATGGCGGGACGCGTGCGTTCGCAAACCGACAAATACTTGCAACCGTCTGCATCAGGCGCTTTACTCCCGTGTAAACGCCAGCTTCAGTTATTAGGACGTCCAAGTATGCCCGTGATAAATATATAACTTTTAATAATGACGTTTATTTCAATGAAATATATATTCTCGTATAGAGCACGTATGTGGAAGGCCACAATAATGATAATTACGTACAGAGGACAGTCCATCGAGCATTTTCAATGTCTGAAAAAATATGATTTATGATCGCGATCTATTCTCTGCGCATAAATACTATGCTCGTTATCAACTTCTGGTTGTTACAAATTAATTTTTTCTCGTATGACATTTGTTATGCACGAATGAAACAAAATAGAATATCTAGATCTATGTGTCATACAAATCCATTTGATTAAGTTCTTTAAACTTGAATAATTGAACAGCTTTGAATAAATTGCGAACTAGAAATCTGTCCGTAAGTCTACTACTTTTGAAGTGACTGTACAAATTTAAGATCTTACAACGACCCGTGAAGACATAACTTTTGCCTTGCTATTCATGCAATATTCATTGCAATTAAACTAAAATATTTCTTCGCTGAATTTTGAAGTAAAGTCAAAAGTCTGCCATAAAAGAGGATTAATTCCCAGATAAATCAAACGTTATGAAGAACTGATCATGTTTGCACACGTTCGCAATATGAGTGATATTAAAAATTGTTGATACTTCTTACTATTTTCAAAAACAGCAAAAAGTTAAAATTCCACTCAATTTATAGAAATATTTTTAATATCGTTTTGCCTCCAGTCTTTTTCCAATAATTAACTTTATTAATTATTAGAAACTCGCTAATTCGAAACCCCAATGAAAATTTGCCTAACAGTTATATTGACTTTACATTTCCACGTATCATCACTTAAAACATTCATGAGTAATTTTGCGTAGGTAGTTTTCCAGGATTGTGTTTCTACGTGTTCGTTAGTTTTGAAGTTGATTGCAGAATAAATATAAAATTTTTAAATTGTTCATTTCATATTTACGCTTATATAAATAATGAAATAAGTGATTATGGTCTTTTCCCTTCAATGCCGGAACGTTATTATGCTAATATGTGTACTTCAAAGTCTTACCGCCAGATGTCCCTTTTAAATTCACAATTGAAAAACTTAGAATCTTGAGATATAAAAGTAAAATTTTTCCTTACACGCTCCGAAATATATGTAATTGAATATTTCGAATAATTTTAAGCGCTTTGAGTTGGTCTAGTTTTATAAATAAACGGTTTAAAGTGATATTATATTGGTTCAGCTTACCGTTAATCTGGACGAGCCAGATCGCATCGCAGATGCCCCAAAGGCTCGACACGAGGAAAAAGTAAGCGCCCTGCTGGGTCTGGGGCTGCCACAGCAGCATCGCTATGAGGATTCCCATGTGAAGGAAAAAGGCAAAGAGCATGACGGGCATTCGACCGGTGAGCTTAACGGCGGAGCCGGTGGCCGGCGCGGCGATGGCATTCACCACGCCGAAGCATATCATAACGTAGCCGATGTTGCTGATGCCCCAGGCGCACGACACGAATGCCTGTAAAACAAAAATATTCTACAAATTATATGGATCATATTACACGGCTTTGTAAGCCAAAAATTTAAAATCATCGATACAGACTAACGAGTTTGTAAAGTATGCCTCGTATTGCACGTATCGATGCCAGATAGTACGTAATACGCGCGCGTAACGACAGGTTTCGTTGGCAATTGAAATTCGCGATTCAGCAAATGTTTAATTTCAAAATGATATTGATATTAAGATCAAAATCTGCATATGAATTCTTGCACGGATTTTGATGAGATTTCTTTTCGTGCATTCGGCTGGAAATTGAAGATGCAACTATGTATTTCTGCCGCGCTGGAATTGTGAGGGCAACTGTGTGCTGCAGGGATGAGTCGAACTCGAGCATATAAAGCCAATCGATACTAGCTACCCCTGCGGTTTATTTCTCTTCTTTTTCATTGCCAGCAATACAGCGCGCAAATACACACAACCACACACCCGCACCTACGCACACACGCCGAAGTGCACGTGGCAGCTAATATTGGAATGGACTCTCATTTTCCGCGATAAAATTCTTTGTTTTGTAAAAGAACTTTGGGCGATTCTTAATGATTCAAGAGAGCGCGTGCTATCGAAGTATTCAATCAACCCGTTTTTTCTTTTTTTTTTTTTTAACAGCACCGAGTACAATATAAAAAAAGTAAGCATTAAAATGTTAAATACTCTAATTCCATTGGATCGTGAATTGCACGGTGCAATTATTCTTGAGATTAATGTTAAGCGTCGATGAAATTCGACACACTATTTACACAAAATTTTAATTAAATTATTGATCCATAAGTAAAAACATTTTCGATAAATAAAATAAAAATAAAAATTCAGTGGAGCACAATTTTAATTAAAAAGATTGGAATTTCGTTGTCATATATTTATACTCAATATAATAATTAAGATTGCGCGTGAGAGAGAGAGGAGGTCAGCTTAAAGCTGTGAAAATTCTTTTGCTGCTGGTATACGAAAACGAGTCCATTAGCGTGCGCGCAGATTACAGCGTGGAAAAGGGGTATAGCATTCTTGGCTGCTATACAGCGGACACTTACGGCATTATAATCGGCAAACAAAAATGCCTGCTCAGCTCCAATAAAAATAGTTATCGGCAGTATAAGCAGTTGGCTTTTTTCTCCCAGCAGCTTTAGCGTGACCGACAAAAGCTTAAGTCCGCTGTTGCCGCCCGCTGATCCTTTGCGTCCTCTGTCGTATCTGAGGAAAAAAAAGCCCGTCGAGTGTAAAGCTTGTGTACTTCCAAACTCTATTGGATAATACATGAAGTATGGATGGAACTTGCACACTTGGAAATATATGGTCGATTTCATCGAAAACAATATTGCAAAGAATATGTTACTAAAAATGTGAAAACTGCTTTGACTTATACAATTATTTTCACTTTGACACTTGCAGATTTATAGATTATGATTTGCGCCATCTAGTGTTGGAGGCTAGCTTTAGTGAAGATTGAATTGACACAAATGTTCTGAGCAGTCAATGAGAAAAATAAAAGGTCTGGCTATTCAAGAGTAATTCGTATACGAAATTTTTAATTTTTGTGTACGAAATTCTATAAAATTGGTAAACGAAACATTAAATAACCCTATTTTTGTATAAAAAAATCAAAAATTTCATGCACGAATTTCCCCTGAATGGTCACTTCGAAAAATAAATCCGTATTAAAACACTCATTTACAATAAAAACTTTTCAAATTGAGTGTAAAATCTTTTTGGTTCATTTTTAGAATTAAAAATATAATTAAAACAATTGAATTCACCCAATTTTTTGAAGCAATTTATATAAAAAATAAATCAGTAATTATGCATTAGTTTTCATGTTAAGCACCTTCAATAAAATTCAACATAGAATATTTTAATTGAGTATTTTAGGTTTTTTGAACAGTGACATTAGGGTGAATCCTTTCAGGTTTGAGTGTTGTATCTAATTTTTATTCACCAAACTCAAAATTTTCATCGATAATTTATCACAGTTGTTTCATCACATTTATCAAAGTACATGTTACTCTACTTACCGAGATAAAGAATCAACGCCAAAGGCAACTATGAGACAAGCCACTACCATGCAGGCTAAGTAAATACCGGAAATCAGGTGTATTCTTTCGACTGGCGGAGGTCGCAAGTTAGGATTCTCCACGGCTTCAGTAATTCCGCAAAAATTTGCTCCACACAACTGGCTGATGATACTCGAATTTGCACTGGCTGTAGTCGGATTTTCCTCTGGCGGCTCTAAGCCGTAAGACAACACTGCGAATCATGAATCAAACTTGAGTTTCTCTTCTTTTTTTTTTATTTTCACTTTTGACAGTGTAAAATTGTGCACTTTACGAGCTGACGGCTAGCCGAGGCAGACGTAAATAAAATATGTGACAGTCCTAGTGTCAAAGATTTTATTGTGAATTTATTATTGCTCGAGGACTGCAGCGTCGTACACAATTAACAATTTTTTTTTCGTTTTATCTTTTTTTTTACAAACATGTCAAGAGCCTTTTTTTGAAGAAACTGGCACATGTAACAGACGTGCAGTGGACAAACGCTTCTAGCCATTCGTTATTACTTTTTCATGAAAACGTGAAACACAGAAGTAGAAAGAGTAAACAAATTATTAATGCTGAAAGTGCGAAAAATTCAATGTCGCGACCACGAAACTGTTGTTAAAAGAAACTCGACGTCAATGAATAAACAAGACGGTATAATGGAATGACGAACATCTTCTCGATTTCATTAAAAACTTTTTAGCCAAAAATAATCTTCAATTTAAGTGTATAAAAGTTTTTAAATCACACAGCGACTTATTGCTTCTAATGTTTGCAGCTTATTGTACAGATAATGAAAGAACGTATACAGAGGTTTTCAATAGTTAAAATTTCGGCAAAAAGTTATAACGTAAAGCTTCTTGATAGATACAGAGAGTGCGCGCGAGAGAAAGAGAGAAAATTTGCTCTGCAACTCTCGGAAAGCTGTGCACAGCCTCAACGTGTAATGGTCGGGTAGAAGAGTCTCATCGTGTCACTCAACCGAATGAAAGAGGCTACAAACTTGCCGAGCTTCGAGCTTACTTACTTACTCTTGTATGACTGTGTGTGTGCGCGCAGTGTTGTGCGGCTGAGTGTGGGTGGATGTTGTACTCTTTCACTCCTCTCTCTTTCTCTCTCCTCCCGCGACTTTACTACAGAGAGACACGATACTGCTGCGCTAGTCATTTCGCGAACAACACGGCGCATACATACCCTCTCTATGCGCTTGTGAGCAGTGATACACGTACACACAATCATGCACACAAAAATCTCATCTGGCTAAAGTTACAGACATCTAGAGCTTTCACTCAGTTTTTTCACGCTTGATCATGCTTGGCATCGCGTGAGCCTTCTTCTTTTTCTTCTTAGTCCTTGCCCCTGATTATTTTTCATCAGAGCGAAGTAAATTTTTGAGAGTGGAAAAACGGGGGAGTATCTAATTATCATAGCTTCTTTTAAAAAATTGCAAAAATTTAATGCATTTTTGAATTGAACTTTTCAACAACATCGCAAAGAGAATCCAAATATTATGACAAAGCAAGAAAAGTCAGCCACGTGTCGACTGCGATAAGGGAAAAATATTTTAAAAGTTTCCTTCACGTATACACAAACGAGAGAAAGAAAAAGAGAATGGTTCTCTCTCAAAGTGGTCTGCATAGTATACTTTTTTTTTTTTTTTTTAATCCCACAGAGAAGTTAAAACGTTATACCAAATCGAGCGAGCATGGTGCAGTATAAGCTCCATCCGACTTTACAAATCTGTGTCTTTTCCCCCGGCAAGATTTCTACAAATCCATTTTTTATATGCTTTTAAGATAAAAGTTTTTATTTAACATCGGTACATAGTAGTAGAATTAGCATTCTAGCTAGAAAACGAGTACGGGTTATTTTCAAGTTCTGTACCTTGGCGTTATACGTGGCAAGTGTGTGCATTTGATGCATTATTTGACTTTCTACAATTTTGTTGCACATAACTTTGTTTTACTAAAGCGCATACTTTATTAAATTAGTTGAAAAGTTATATGCTCATGCTCCTACTAGCCGTGGGATGTAATAGACTAAGAAACCATAAGAGCGAAATAACATGTGTGTAACGAGAAATAGCTAATTTTGCAGAATTCTACTTGATTCTAGAGCAATCCCAGCGGTGTGGAGTTCTGATTACGTCATAAAGCTAAGCTTTATTTGAGTACTCGAAAAATATTAATTAGTTTAAAATTTTATTAGCAAATTCCAGCAAGGGCGTTTATTTTGTAATATTTCTTTTTTCATTTTTAATATGCGTCTTATTTTCAATTTCTTTTCACAGAGCCATTCTTGAAACATTAAAAAGTAAACTCTGCCAAGGAGAAAAAAAGGCGTGCAGCATCAACTGCTCATCACGAGAAAAGGTTCGCAGTGCGTCAAAAAGCAACTGGCAATTATTGTGGTTCAAAAGAGTGACTTTTTTTCACTTTTTGTGTTTTCTTTATTATTTTCTTGAAAGCGTATCTCTTCTAAAATAAGGAAAAATAATAATTATTCTCTTTTTCCAGAAAACTATAAAAATTTAATCACCATTGCATCAAGTTGACATCACGTCGCGTTGACGACGCGCGTTTGAAGGAACAACTTCATCGGGCGTCATTCCTATTCCATTGGACGTAGTAAGAGGTAATGCGATTAGTTGTTATGAATAAAAAATCCGCCGCGCGCTGCACAAAGTCTTTTTTGACAATTCCCAACGTCGTCGTCGTCGAGTATCTGCACAGTGCACATAGAGAAATCGGGGTCAAAGATGTTTTAGTTGAAAATTCGGATTTTTTTTCTCTTTTTCGTACAAAGGGAGAGAAAAAAGCAGAAACGCGCACCCGTCGTTGAGAACAAAACGGTATGTAGTATAAGAGAGAGAACGCGTTATTATGTCGTAAAATAATAACTAGAGTTTAATTTTTTCCTTTTTTTTATGGTTGAGAACTCTGAATACAACTCCTGCAGTCCTCTCTCCGCTGTGATATAAACATTCGCGCACGATGGACGAAACGATTGCGGCAGCGCAGTGCAGCAGCAGCAAGTTAGAGTAGCCACAAGGATAGCAACAGGGCATAACTCGCCGCGTCGCACGTCCTTTTGTACGCTCGGTGCGCATACACACACACACACACACACACACACACACACACACACACACACACACACACACACACACACGTACAGAGGCGGTGTCTTGAAAATGAATATTTACATATCATCATAAATACTACACAGTTGTACAACTAGGACCAATGTACAACATTTAGGACAGACGCAGCATCAGAGCTCTGTGCGTTGGTGTACGTGGTACAAATGCAGCAACACGCTGGTGTGGCTTATAACGTACATATGGTCAAATCCCAAAACAAAATGCCGTTTCTTTAACAAAAAAAGGTGAAATTTTTTTTTGGGTGCCCAGCGGCCTGGACCCCCACAAATTGTTCTTACGGGCCCTAGAAGTAAGAAAAAACTAGTGAACATGAAATTTGAAAATAGTTAATTATTTTGGTTACGTTTGGGTTTTAGACACCGAAAAGTCATCTTTTTACGCAAATACGAGTCACTACTCGATTTCCATTTTTCAGTACTCAATTTTTAGAATATTTAGCCCTCAATGTTTGATGGCGATTTTCTCGGTGAAAATAGGATATTTCGGAAAATATAATAGTACCATTGGAAAGCTAAGGAAATTTCCTATCGAATACAGTGGTCAGTTAAAATTTTTAGATGAGTTTTGATACTTTTTCAACCACTTGGAAATCGAGTAATAAGTCGTATTTGCGTGAAAAGATGACTTTTCGGTGTCTAAAACACAAAAGTAACAAAAAAAATTAACCATTTTCAAATTTCATGTTCATGCATTTTTTCTTACTCCTAGTACCCGTAGAGACAATTTGCGCGGGTCCAGGCCGCTCAAAAGAAACTCACCTTTTGTTGTTAACGAAACGGAATTTTATTTTGGGATTTGGCCATATATACATAGAAGCCCTAAAGCGCAGCAAACCACAAATACGCTACTGGTACATACGGCAGAGAGAGAGAGAGAGAGTGTGTACCATCCTGAGAGTGTCTGGGCGGCTCTGCTTCCCTCTCTTTGCGCCTGTTATACAGCCGACGATCGTAATTGCTGTTCGATTTATGATGCATCATCAGTACGTCTGTCTAGGCGCGGGACTAGAAACTATATATACTGCTACACAAGTATGTAACGAGCGCAAGAGCCGTACCATTACCGGTACACACGTCTGTGTGCCTGTGTGCACAGATCGCTCTGAGCTTGCGGCTACGTGCATATATATATGTGTCAGTGCTACGGTTACGTATACGTATGATCCAATTGCTTCGGGTATGCCATACGTGCACGAGCAAGTAGTGGTAGTACTTGCACACGGCATATAGAACCCAGGCCAACATGCGAGTTGTTAATCGGGTCGCGAGCTTCCCTCGCCAGAAGCTCGTCCGTGTAAGTGTATGTGTGTGTATATGTGATCGTGGCAAAGCTCAGTCAAGCGCGCGCCTTGTTCGAGTGTCTCGAGTACACTGCACCTACTACTGCTGCACCTAGAGAGAGAACCTACATCTAAGCATGGATACATGCTTCCTACACCTTTTGCGCATTCTTGTACGAGCACATGCTCACACACGTACGATGCTGTCAAAATCACATGTTACGGTATGTATAAAAAAAAAAATTGTACATCGAAATTTTTTCCAATTATTTAACATATGTCCGGTGTGGTCTTTGCTGGCCTGGCTGTGCAGAGGCGCATGTGTGCCCAGCGGCGCGGCGCCTGACACACGTGTCGCGAGCTGGCTCCTACGGTGCTGCGCTATATGCCGTTGCAAGTACGACGCGGTGTACTCACGTAGTTGGACAGGTTGCACACGAGTGCAGTAAAACTAGCTGCTGCTGCTCCACGCTCACAACCGCAGTATAATTCACGCGAATTTCCAAACTATATAACTTTCTTTTTTTTTTTCTTTTTTTTGCTCGCTCGCTAGCTCGCGCGTCGGTCACGTAGGGTATACACCGCACACGCACACACAGCGGCATAGCGTACAGCCCTCAGGACGTTTTTGCTGCCGCGTTCTCTACGCGCTCAATCGTGCGCGCGAGCTTTCGGAACAGCTCAAGTTTTTTCTCTCTCGTACAGTATACGCAGAGCTTGCGGATTTTCCTCCGGCGCGTAGCTGCTGTTTACTAACTTTTATCGAGAGCTCGATTGCCGCCGTGCCGGTCGCGACGATTAGCAGCGGCAGCAGCGTGTCTCTGTACTTGAAGCCGTGCTCCGCTACTACTGCATAGAGTGACCTCGCAGCGGTCTGGCAGCTTTTATGACTGGAAATCGTGCACGGCAGTAGTTGCTCTCTGCTGCGTGTTCTCTTAAACGCGGTTCTAATTTTGAGCTCCTAATCGATCTAAGCGGCGCTCTACCGGCTGCCGAACTTATTGAGAACATACCCCTGGTATAGTTAACTTTGGCCCCGAACTATCGCTCGTGCACTTACGTTTCTCCGTATAGCCGCGGTGGAGTATAACTCTCGGCCAAGAGGTGTGTAAGCTGATTCAGTTCCGAGATAATATTCGCTAGACGCTTATCCGAAGCTAGCTACACTCACAGCTCTTACTTAAGTATTCGTTATATCATCGTACGTACTACCGAGCTGTCTATATATCGCGCGCGAGTCTTTTAATGCAACTACTACTACCCACCGCGCGCACGTGTCTATACTTCTTTTCTTTATACGACAGTACTTTAGCAGCAAGGATACGTAGCGGCAACAAAAAAAAACCCTAAGCCGCGATCGTCAATGTTGATCAATTATCATAAACACGAGTGCGCCGGATATCGCGTACCCGCGTGCTCCTAAGATAATGGCACGGCCATTGCCACGCGCAGTGTGTGTGCTAGCGAACCTCGAGAAGAATAAAAGCAAACAACCTCGGGTGAAACTCTCTAGAGTCGAATCAAGATAAAAGCAAGAGCTCGCTGGCACTAGTGTGGATTTTTTATATCCCAAACTTTTTGTGCTGCTCGCCGCGCACCGTCGTAGAGCCCGCAAGTTCTTATACTGTCATCGATGTCGATCGTCCGCGATATCGTCTCAGTTCGCGCACGAGAGTGTAGTATCGCATTTTACTTTCCTCGTCGAAAAAGTTGTCTCGCTCAAACGCGACGACGCACATTTTTCAGCTCGAGTTATATGCGTGTGCGAATAGCCCCGCAAAGCTATATAACTCGGTTCCGATCGATTGCTATGATCCTTGTTTATTTAAAATAAGTATATATTCACCGATCGCAGCGCGTTGCAGTTAATTACAGCTACATACAATGTAATTTAGATTCTTTTTTGCAAACGGTCGGCGCGTCGATGTACATTTCAGCGAAAATAATTGAAAGCGAGATTCACTCGATTCAATTATCATTAATCAGTCGGCAAAATAATGACTCGACAGAAACAAAAGCATTATCATTGTTAAAAGGGTATCGATAATCTTTACGAGAGAGAGAGAGAGAGAGAGATAGACAGAGGCATTCGAATTATTCACTCGCAAAAACGATGTGTTCATGAATAAATGATGCATCGGCGAGAGAATATTTAAATTGTGAAACAAAGAAATTTTCCTACTCATAAATTTTACTGGCTAATTACAAATAAAAGAAATAACTGCGCCTTGAAAAGGATTTTCGATAATGTAATCTTCAATACAAAAACAACGGTGAAATAAAAAGTGAGGGAAGAAAGTTGCAGCAGCTCGCGTTTATTTCATGAAATATTTGTCTAAAATAACTTCGTCATTCAACTTTTTTCATACTTCCGTCTCTCTCACCCGTGTCACCTTAGATCTCTTTTGTCAAAACTATTCAATAGAAATGATGAAAAGTATGTTGGAGAATTCTCCCAAACTCGTACTTTGGAATTCCTTTAAGGAAAAGCAATTTCAAAAGAGCCGAGCGCGGAAAACTGTATTCAAAATGTTGTTACGACAGCTGTGTGTGTGTGTGCAAGCGAGTTTGCGAGCTTTTCCGGGCAAAAGTTAACACGTATCAATGTACTTGACTGCTCAAATTCTCCGCACATGCATGGCAGCGCACAGCATGTACTATAAGGTACAGCGTGAAATAATACACGATAGCCTGCGGGGAATACGATAAAATTAATCACATATCCCTCAAAGCGAGCGTGCAAGCTTTGGGGCCGGGGGCCTGTGCACCCTGAGAATTATAAGCCCTCGACCGAAGCTATTGTTGCCGCAGCAAATATTGATACAGGAGGTCTATTATCTACTATTTGATCATAAGGTAAGTTATATAGCTTATTACTTGCCACCTTTGATATTCATGGTAGCAACGAGACATTTTCACTCATATTGCGTGGAAGAGCATTTCTAATAAAAGTTATGGCTATTCTATGATCTTACACTGTAACATAACAACCAGCTTAAAAGGCTTACAACAGTTTAACTTTACCATATTTTGAAACTCAAAGTTTTTAATTCATAATTTTGGATTCTCTAAAGTTAACCATGAGTGGTTAGTATAACAACATACTAAACAATCATAGTGAAAGATTTAGGCTAATAGAAGAATAATTATTCTGGAATTTAAAGTTTTCAATGAATAATTCTGTATTATCAAAAGTTTCAACATTATTTTATAAAGTAATAATTGCAAGATGTCTTATTGCAATAGTTACAAGCTCGTTAAGCTTGCCCAAGTTCAAATTGTTCATAATCGGTTTTCGAAGTTTTCAATTAATAATTTTGGATTCTCAAAAGTTGAATGTTATAACATATTAAACAATGATAAATACAAGATTAAATTCGTGTATAAAAATTTAAATTGGTTGAATCGGAGTGGATTCAAGACGACGCACCGAATCATGTTTCATGAATAAAAAAATTCTATGCACCCGGGCAAGTATTTTTCGCGCATCAGCAAATATAATATACGAGAAAAATGTGGGCGAGAAAAATGATGTATAGCTATTAGTTATGGCGGTATATATTGGAAGTGACGCGCGCGAGCTCAGCTCAGCCGTTCGCTATATATACGCGCACGCACACGAAGTTACTCGTATCACGCACACACGTATATATATCACACGGTGCGGTGCTTGCCGGATAGTAGAAATAGAGAGAGAGGGAGAGAGTTTTTTGCTTACCAGCCGAGGAAATGAGATTTCCCCAGACCTGTGCCATCTGGTAGAACATGAAGAATAGCCCGAAGAAGCGCGTGACAAGAACATCCGCGCCGAGCTTGGAGACGCTGGCGTAGGCCTCGGCCACCACGGTGAGATAGGTGCACTTGGCGCACCAGAGCGGCCCGCCGCCCAGTCCCACCGCCAGTCCCGACGGTATCATCGTGTAGAAGCGCGGATAGAACTGGGCGCCGATGAACGGCATGTAGGCCACGAAAGTCACGGCTATCGTCCACTTGCATCCCAGCCAGCTGCAACATGCACAACATGCAGAGCGGTAGCAGCACAAGCACAAGAGAGAGAGAGAGAGAGAGTTTCGAGAACGTCAGAATTGACTATTTTGCATTCAAGACCGCACGAGAAACGCTTCGTGCCTCGCGTGTACATTATGACAATGTGTGCGCAGTGCACGGGGTCGTCGTCGTCGTCTACGTATACGCGTATATGTTATTATGTCCTCCCTTACGTACTCCTCTATACATTTTCGCCTGTGTATGGTGTATATAGCGCGCGTACAGCAGCAGCCTCTGCATATATGCACGCGCGTGTTCATTATATTTTCTCTCTACGCGTTATTACATTATGCTGCCTCTCTCTCGCGCGCGCTTATAATTGCACCCCGCACCCGCACCGTATAGCCAGCCAGCCAGCAGCTCTGCTAACGCCAGTTAAATTTTTATACGCGCTCGCGAGCGCATTTGCTTTTATAATGCGCCTTGCCGACGAGAGAGAGAGATACAGAGTAAACCTTATGCGTGAGCATCAACTTTTTAATTTTCTCAAAGCTAATCTTATTTTGATGCCGATGCTTGTGTACGCAAAATAAACTAATCATAGAATACAAGATAAGTGAGATATGTGGCAGAGTATATAGAAACAGCTTCTATTTTCCGCTTGCGGGAACGATACCGACCCGAAGCGACATCATGCGGCAGTCGCAATAAACATTTCAATTTCAAATTTGTATCCAGTTCAGAAATTAAAGGTATAAGACCATGTATTTTTGAACTTTAAGTATTCGAAATGAGTCCCCCATAAATTTCCGTTATGTTACATCGAAGCTAATTATTTACCGTTGATGAAAAAAACATTGCGTCACGTGCATTTAGCTCCCATTGCATCTAATTTTACGCAGGTTACATATAGCTCGATCTGAAAAGCAAAGTATCACTGATAAAATTTACCGCGCGCTGTTTGCTTATCAAAGCCGTGCGTCGATAAAGGAAACTTTAAGTAGCCGAACGCAAATGCCGTGTCGTTCCATTATAAAGACAACTTTCGCTCGCTTTGCCCGTGTGTATCTATCTATTGCCTTTATCCGGACTGAATGTTTTATTCTAAAAGATAATACGCTAAGGCGCCTTTTGCCGAGCTCTCCGGACAATCAGCGCTATATTCTCTTTGTACATTTTTTATATAGCTTTTATATAGCAGTTGACATATAGAAGAACGAGATATACCATTTATGAAAGGCAAATTCCTCGTGTTTGTGCAAATCCGTCACGATCAGTCGAACGGCAAATTTATGCAGACGCAAGAGCAGAGAGAGAAGGCTTTATCGGCTCCGAAGCAATTATCTATTGATACTTGCTTCTTTTTTTTATATATATCCTCTTGATTTGCCGCCGCTTTTTTGCCAAAGCCGTTTTAAAAGAGGATTTAACCCCGACGTCGTCGTCGTCGTCGTCACAGCGTCTTTTATAATCGTAATCTCACGCGCACGATTTTTCGTATATCGGAATAATGGGAGCGACGAGCGTGCGCACGCGCGCAACGTGCATAATGTATTTTCAATGATTGATGCTGTACCTTATCATTAGAACGGGCAGGAAAATGTTGCTGAATATCAGACTGCCGTAGATGGATGACAGAGTGAAGGTTCCCAGCGACTGATCCGCGTTGACAGAGCTCTGTAGATTGCTCGCGCCCATGAAGGCCGTAAAGTGAATCATAAAGGCTATGCTGATCATCAGGATATTTTTCAATATACGCCACCTCTCCGATGGGGCGAAAGCTCCCTCCTGTACCTCGATAAACTTCGGTCGCGTATCCATGTTTTTAATCTCTTTTTTTTTTATTCTTCGATTATTTTTATAGAGATGCTAATCTGAAACATAAACATGCCTTGGATTTAAAATTACTAATTCTGTGTATAAATGGGGGATAATTCAATAGTCGATTAATTCAATTTACAAAATTACTTTTCTATTGGCTCACAGAATAAACATAATGCATGAAAATGGCGTGTGAAATATTCGTGACAATAAACAAGGATCTCAAGAAAAGGAAATAAGACAAACGTAATTAAAACTGGAAATGCAGTGGCAGCGTAAAACAGGTAAAATATCGTGGGACAATGAAACGTCGATTTTACGGACTTGGCACTATAATGTAACGGTCGCAGTGGGCTGCTGCTGGTCATCGAAAATCTATACTAATAAAATAAAGAAAAAACAAGAGCTTAATGGAAATCTTCCTGCTCAATGGAAAAATTTGAAAATCAATTTGGTGTATAGAAGCGCGCTCAACAAAAGAGTCAAAACTTTATCCTCGTCAGTTTAATTTCTTTTTAGAGTTAGCTCTCCGGTTGTCCGTGTAATAGCATTTTCACGCGCGCTTTCAGTTTATTTCAGGCAATATCTCTAAGTGTTTTCCAGAGTTTCGTTTTGTTATCCTTCATTGATGTGTACAGTTACGTAAATGTGACGGCATTACACAATACGTACAATCTCTTATCAATTTTTGCGACCGAATACAAAATAGTTACACGGGTTACACAAAGTTTAAAAAATTAATCATGTCTTGTTAACCGGTAATGATTTCGTTACATACTTACTTCGTTACAAACTAATACTAACTTTATCAAAGTACATGGTTCGATAAAGTCGGTACATGTTTTAGACTTGATTTACGGACAGCATGAAAGTTTACTTACTAGTGAAAAAATTTTCCACAAAAAATGTCAACATTCACCAATATAGACGCAGAAGCAGACTACATGAAATCCATCATGAACGGTCATGCCAAGTTTTTTTCGCGAAGAATTTTTCCGACATAAATCGTCAAAGGGCTCAATAAATAACATAGTATCGAATTTTCAAGAAAATCTGACAAAACAGAGTCTGTGGTCACGCTAAGCCAAAAACTGGTGAGCTGCAGATAATACATTTCTGAGCGGGCTTATGATCAAAGGGCAACTGCTCAAATGCCCTCGAAGGGTATGATTTTAAAGGCAGAGATACGCAGAGAATATGATTCGGTTATCAAAGTGGAGTCCACATGTAACTCTCGTGTTTAATGGATATTTCTATGTATGCTTTAGGGGCCGCGCGCTTTAGTTGCTTTGTGGGCTTTTAATCATTTTACATTTATATAATGTCAATGAAATCAGCTAGCTTGCATTTACATCTCGCTAATATAGACGTCGAGCATACACGTGGTGAATTCTCTGTGAAGTTGGCCGCGAGTCAATACTTTTTTCAGATGACATGACAAACAAGTGGTTTTAGTGTATGTTATTTAGCGAGTGAATTGAGGTTTAGTTTTGACTTGAAAGTACTTTTGCACGGAAGTTAATTTGACTGCCGAGGGAGTGTTGACATATCTGGGTTGTGTTTAAACTATCTAATAGCTATTTTACATCAAAGTCAGGTAATTCAAATTTCGCTAACTTTCAGGGCCCTGCCACCTAAGCGTCCGACAATTCAAATGAAATTAGAGGCGCTTATAGCACTGAGAACAATGCACTCATTATGTCACCTGAGAAGCATTTTTTTTTTGTTTCAGTCGTTTTATAGAGAAGCAGTCATATACGATTGCGTGTTGCGTACATTGCGCTGCTTGGATCTAAACAATCGGACGGAGAAGCGTGTCCTTGGTATTATAGATTGATGCGGAATCGATTTTTTACGCTTAACGCTACTTTATATTTGACAATGGCAATTTTTTATTTAAAATAAGATGCGAGCGAACTTTTTTACACCAACGTGACAGTGCTTATAAATCTATTCTCAAGTAATCGATTCTTTTTTAAACTTTATAAATAAATCATTGGTTGAAATACAAATGCATCATATTGAAATATAATTGATTAAATTGACAATTGAAATTGAGTTTTACCTGAAATAACTTAATGGAAAACGAGGTTCGAGTTCAGTGCACAATAATAGAAACTTTTTTTTTCATGGAGCTCTCGACGAACAACACACGCGCGTAGAGTTTTGACGGTGAACCACAGCTCTCGTTACCGTCTCATTGAACTAACATTAAATAAAAATTTTTATGCATCTAGCGAGCATCAATCAATCATTAATGGGCGTTCCACAAAATTACTGGAAAAAAGTTAAACATCGCGTACATACGTCAAGCAACTACTCGCACGCAGCACAGAACGGCACAGCACACGATCATTATCTATTATTGCCGGGATAAAAAATCAACGGAGCGTGGAGTCTATTTGCTCGTTTACAGTGCGCCAAGATCGTATAATAATCCGTAGATATGTGAAAATTCACAATTATAAAAGTTGAATATCCAGAGTATAGTGACGCAAATTGAAAATATACATCGCGACACGCGAGAGTAGAGCTGTGTGTTCTGATTTTTATCGCGGCGCGCGCGTCGTTATTATTATGGACACAATAACGCAAATGCACGCGCGCGCGAACACCTTATGAAATTCCCATATAACACGGATGCGTCGTCGACCTCAATTCTTGCGCAACGATTTATTATTATTTTTTTTTTTCAGATCTATTGACGCGTGTGTGGAAAGAATTTTATGGCTCCCACTTGCCTCCAAGACAGAGATTTTAGCCTCGTACGCATAAATCGTACTCATAAAAATGCCAGTCGGTGGATATTTTTTTTATTGTTACTTCTGGTTCATTGATTAGAATTAGTACTAATGGTGACTGCGCGCGTAAATTAGACCCTGAAAATAGATTAATGTGACATTACAGCCACCACAGTCGTCTGTGCACTGCGCTCTCATTAACATAAAGTAGCGCGTGTGGCGCGCAAGCTGCGATGTCTGGAAAGGCAGAGATATTATAATTAACTTCATGTAGGAGTGCATGCTAATACGAGCTCGCACGGACTCTACAAAAGCGGGGGATTTGCGTGGCGAAGTAAAAAGATGAAAAAAGTCGATTCGTTATAGATATCGCGCGCGTGCGTGCAATGGGACTTTGTATGTATAGCTCTGATTGAATAATCGAATTAATTGATTTAATTGCGAGCTCTTTTATCTGTGCCGGATCGAAGTAATGAACGCATCATTAACAAAACTACTTTGCAAGTCCGTCGACGTATTGCAACATTTTTTTTCCGCAAAATGATTTTCGACTCGCTGACAAATTAAATTGACGCTCGCGCGCTTTGTGTCTCGGAAATAATTATAGGATAATTGATAAAAGACAAATGGAAGAGTGTCGAAGCGCATTCGAATTAGTATTTATCATTTCGCGAATTGATCATAGGGTTTATGTATTTGAAATGCAAAATCTCATTAAAAGCGCACCACCACCACCACCACGCCACACCGCGTACCCGAGTAATTTACATTTTCTATTATAACTTACTTGTCAGCTACAAGCTGTTCAATTTTCTTCAATTGCATTGAATCGCTGCACAGTACAATGCCACCGACACGCTAGTGTATTTTCCTGGAGATCGTCTAATTCACGGCACAACAGGACAACGGAGCTTCAAACGATTTCTGCAGATAAATATCACTGTAATCATCCACATGGCAGGCAAAACAAAAAGGAGAGAAGAAGAAAAACTTTCACAATCTCCGATGCAAACTGTCACAATTTGCACTTTTCATGCTCCTGACTATCGAGGTATTAGTAATCGATGAGAGAAGCAGCGAAAAAAAAGAAGAGGAAGAAGAAGGAGAAAAAAGAAGAAGAAAACCGATAATGGAACTGCGCCCGCTCGTGCGTGCGTCCCACAGAAAACACAGGCTCCGAACTGAGGAATCGAGAGTTCAAGATTGCCGATTACTATATAGCTATAGTCGCGCAGAGCTCTCGTTCGCCTCTCTCGCGGCGTTTCGTATATGTGTGTGTGTATAATATCGCTTGCACAGCTCGCACACGCGACTCCCGCCACTTTTTTCCTTCTAACCTGCTGCTGCCGCCGCCGCCGTCACTGCTACTCCGAGTGTAAATGTGAATGTTATTTTTATTTAACTGCGACATATAAACGCATATGCGCGAGTTTGTATAATATATATATAAATAAACAACGTTTACCTCACACGTATATTGGCTTGCATCAGAAAAATCTTAACTACGTTGCAATACGCTGCGCACGCACGCATATACATACATTGTAAAAGCTAAAGAGTAATTTTTTTCGAAGAGATTGTGTATGTTTGTATACAAGGATACTGGAATTCTTAATTTTTTTCATTCGTTTATTATGAAATTTTACGTCATAAATGATACAGATCGTAATTTTACAATTAATATTGAGCACACTTTTTTGCCTTGAACTACTTATCAATCCTTCTCTCGTTTTTTCTTTTAGAATTTCAAAATTTTACAATTTTTTTTATCTTCGAGTTTTATACGTCATTTTGAAACTCCGAATGTGTGTACCTGCTTTTTCGTATCGTGAGTGCATACTCCGAATTTTGCCGTAATATCTATGACATAATCATGAGTATTAAAAAAATCTCACTCCATTCGTAATGAATGAGGTTTTTCATTTTATCTGTAGTTGTAGTAGTAATATTTTTCATTTCTAACGTGAAGTAATTGCATTAATTTTAACAATTATTTACTAAAACACGTTATAAACATGTTGTAAAATGATTATTAAAAACTCGTATTCTTTTCCATTTGTCTGAAAAAAAAAATACATTTTTAATGATCGTAAGAAGTTGGTTTCTTAAACCGATCTTGAGCAAAGAAGAAGATCGTAAAAAATACGAAGAGAAAATACTGATTCCTCGTTTAAAAAGTTTTCAAAACCTTATTTACCTTTAAAACTAACCAACTTACCGCAAATGTTTGGTCTGGCTAAAACGCGAGCCGAGCTGCTTTTCAATTGATTTATAACGAACTGAGAGATCACTTGCACACGGTGAATTACGACAGTTTATACCTCAATTTATTCATTAAATACAACTACGATAGAATCATTCTCTCAACTCGACGCTGGCTGCGACAATGTAACTGTGTCTATCTCTCTCGCTCACAGCGCGCATTGGTGACATCGTACTTCTCGCAAATTTGTTAGGAGGCGTAACGTTTGATCGCACTAAGTTTTCGATCCGACTGCTCGCATTGAATTTTGCAGGGCATTCCGAGCGTCGCAAACTCAACATAAATTATTTGTAAAAATAGTTGTACACTAATTTGTAACATCGATGTAATTGTGATCGATAATAATTAAATAATTCACTCGTCAGGTTAACGGAATTCGATGGCAATGTCCAACACTCTGAACTATGAAGTATTTTTTTCGAGTGCGGTTTTTCAAATAAACGAGGGATTATGGCATGAACCGGAGGCGAGTGTTGTAACAATTAATCAAATTTTAGTAAAATTAAAATACCTGTCTTTCCCACAAAATCCTGAAGTTAGAGTAAAAAAGAAAGGAAGAAATTAATTAATTTCCATAATGAACTTTACTCTCAATAAAATTTAATAATTTAGGAAACTAATTATTAACACGTTATTGGACAAGAATGAAAATGAAGAATAATACAGATTCTTTGCCGCGCAGCAAAATTTTATCAACATTTTTCACTCAGAACATTGAGAGAGATAGATCAGAGAATCCTTTTGCTCGATTATATATCTACTTTTGGCCCTGTGTGTAGAAATTCTCTAGCAACCGCGCTAAAACCGCGTATATGAAAAAAGCAATTTTTCTATAAAAAAAACCTGTGCTCTTTATTCCAAATGATGACAATTTCAATTTTATTAGAAATTCTCTGTCAGTTCTAGAGTTAAGACTTTACGAACAAGAGTTAAGTCTTAAGTAGTTGTAAAAACGTGATTCACGGGTGAATTTTCTGCAATTTTATTTTAAATATTTTAATTATAATATAATTAACAAAATTCTCATTACAAAATATAAATTGAAATATATATAACAAGTGAAATGAAGTATACTGAAAGATTTTCGTCCTTTTTCATACCGACGATTTTACAGATTATTTAATGGATATTTCAAAAATTGAAAACTGACATTAAATAATCACAAGCATTGGGGGCTATTTGGGATAGCTGCTGTACACTTTCATTTTTTTTTAAATTGAAGCAGATGCATTCAAAAGTTTGTTAACTATTGAAATTTATTTTCATTTGAAATCAAGCGTGAAAGATATTCAAAAGATAATGAAAAAAAAATTTCAAAAAAAAGATTACGTGACCCAAAATGAATAAAAAAATATCCATCCAGAGCTTAACAAAATTGGACTTTTTGAAATGAAAAGACCCTTCATCATGAAATTACTTATAATATTCCTTCCTAATAACGTCAATAATAATCATAAACAATTTGGTACGTGAAAAAGTCGAATCATTAAGTAAATTAGCTTTAGATCATATAAATCGTCATCGTAATTCGTAGCTCGAAATTGTTGTTTTTCTCTGATACTGGGAAAACTCTAGGAATAAATACATCTTATATCTTTCTTGACTGATATATCTAGTGGGATTACCGGAGAAAACAAAGGTTATAAATGTACTGAGATAAAAAACGATTGGAAACATAGTATTCTTTCTTCAGAGTCTGATAATATATTTTCTTTGTTACGTAAGAGACAGCCTAAAAATCATAAAATTAAACTTTTGTTATAAACTCTTTGGATTACGATATCTTGAACATTGCGGTTAAATATACCTTGCGGAAATTTTTATGGACGAACCGCGTCAAATCAACACGTATTGAAGGTAAATAATTCTGTTTGTTTCAAATTTGAGAGTACTTAGATTTTTAATTAGTGTTCATATTAATGCATCTATGCGAGAAATATTCTCTCTTATTCTGTAATTAGTATAATAGGTGGTATGTATTGCAGCTCCATTTTTTTTGAATATATCACGTAACTACAAAACTTCAATATATTCTGAATGATTCGTTAACACGATTTTACTTTTTTTGTAGCAATTATTTATTATTATTCAATACGTGAAATATTCTTCCATTTATTCACATTTTTGAATGTAGTTTTTAAATTTAATTTTCCCTTTTCTTTCGGCGAGTACGTAATGTTTGTTTTGTTTTCAAAACATGTTTTTTTTACTAACTCAAGGATTAAGCATACAACGATGCGATAATATTCACTTAAAAAAAAAACAGGAACAATTTAAGCGCGAGGTGAGATGTAATCTCAAATACAATAATGAATATTAAAATCTCAAAGTGCAAGGAGAGGAACGCAGATGAGCGATAATCTAAATGCTTGCACATGCAAAATATACCGCACGCACGCGGAATACAACTATATAGCAGTCTATGCGCAGCGTATGATATTCAGATCAGATACACGCAGTTCAGTAGTCAATCTGAAATTGCCCACTGGGTTTTCACGTTGTACATGTGTGTGCATGTATGTGTTCGCACACACATAAGTAGTATAGCAGAGTACATAGTGAAGTATACGTTGGTAATACAGCAACCATCTTCTAGCGCGACGACTGCTGCTGCTGCTGCTACTACTACGTCACAATATAACGACATACACA